CATTTCGAGGCCTCTTTAAAGTGAGGTTATGGGAGGGGCTTTTGCCCCACCTTCCAGCCCTACAATCAGAGGGGTAGACACAACTGAGGATACTGACAAGGTATGAGGTGACTAAGATGGGGAATTAGCACCAAAGCTGAAGCAATCTCCACGGTGATGAATTTATTGGTGATGAAATTATTTTGATGGAGAGAAGGGAAGAGGGGGGAGGGAAGAAACCAAGTAGAGAAGCTGGTGGCAAATGAAAGATGTAGGAAACAATATGGAAAGGAGACATTAATCATCTTCCTTCCCCAAATTCTTTCCTTCAGACCTAAAATAGTTCTAATACACAGGATTATGAATAACACAGGTGAGATCTGAATTCTTCGATGTATTTTATTGAGCATGTATAACTCTAGCTAGCAACAATGGGAAAGAAGCTTGAATCCCAGAAGAGGCTTGATTACCCTCTGGAAACAGCATCTCATGTTCTTTCAATCTCACCTTTCCTCCCCGGCACACATGCACAGGTGTCACTCCACCCCATCCCCCTGAGTATATTGTTAGCCTGCCTATATCTGAATTATTTTGTACATGATCAGGAAGCATGTGAGGGCTGATGTAATAACAACAACGACAACAATGATGATGATAGCATTTAGATAGTGCCTTAAGTTTTGAAAAGCACTTTACAAATATTATCTCATTTTATGCTCATAACAAACTTGGGACGTGCTATTATCTCCATTTTACAAATGAGAAAACTGAGGCTGTTAAGTGACTTGCTCAGGGTCACATAGCTAGTATGTGTCTGAGGCAGATTAAACTCTGTTCTTCCTGCCTCCAGGTGTAGTGCTCTATTTAATGCACCACCTAGCTTCCTTATAACATCTGCATGGTTACCCCTCCTCTGTATACTGAGACCATTAGCAGGCACAAGGCCATAATGTTAGAGAAGGTTTTATTAAAAAGAGGAATATAAAATGGAAATCCTAAAATGAACAACTATTTGATTGGGGGGAACCAGCCCTCTAGTTCTCAAGACAAGTTCTCCCAGTGAACCTTATGCTCAACATATTCTATGGGTCTACATTCCCTAAAACCATAGCTTGCTAGTCCCATCAATGCATTCACCTTGATTAGACAGCCAGAGAATACAGGAAGTATATAGCAAAGACTTTTAATGAAATAGTGTATTAAGTAGCCACAAATATCTCCTATAAACTTGGGGTACATTCTCAAGTACAAATAAATACAATCCAAGTGGGAAGAGTAGATAAATGTAGGGAACACATATACAAGGACACACACATGTAGAAGGACTGACACACAGAAAATATATGTGATGAGGGTACATGCATGGAGAGGCAAATTATGCCTCAAGTACTTAAGAGCCACTGCTATCTTTTTGTTTTGTTTTGTTTTTAAGTGAGGCAATTGGGGTTAAGTGAGATATCTTCTAATGCTGTCACTGTAAACTTCCCTCCAGGCCTACATTCTACTGGCTTTTTAACTTCTGCTGCAAGCTGCTTAGATGCATAGACTCTTCTGCCATATGCTGATCTGCTGGATTCTTCTCTGTTAACTACTACTTTCTGGACACTGTTTAAATGGACACTTGGCCTTCTGGGCACTGATCTGTTCCCTGTAGATTTTCATTCCTCTGAAAATCTTGTTTATGGTTTCCTTGAAGGAAAGAACAGGTATATCTATGCTCTATTATCTTAAAACCCATAGGTTTTTCTAGCTCTTTCAGAAAAGTCAGAAACCTTTGACAGGCAATCAAACCTCTACCTCTTCTACCCCCTCAAAAATCTCTCCTCTTGGGTTCTCTTGCCTCATTTCCTCAGATTATTGGCTACTTATGCCTCTCACCTTACCAGCAATAGATCTTTAATGTCAAGTGCCAACCTCTTTAAAGCAAGCAGAGGGTTTCCAGCTACCTAATATCCTCAACCTTAGTCTGTTATTTAGATTCCTCTTCTCAACGTCACTGTCAAAGACCTCACCTATAATAAGCATTTCATAAACCTCCAAATTTCCAATCTCTGAAGGCTATATTACATGTCATATAATGATTATTGCCTGAACAGAGTTCAGGAGCTATAGAGTTCAGGGTCCCTCAGTTTTTGAACCCTAAGTCCAGTGCTATGCTGGTAAATGTTTAACAAGAGGCTTTCTGGGAGGGGAAGCTAGGTGGGACAGCGGTGGGAGCAATGGTCCTGGAGTCAGGAGGTACCTGAGTGCAAATCTGGCCTCAGGTACTTATTAGCTGTGTGATTCTGGGCAAGCCATTTAACCCTGAAATACACCCCCTCAAAAAATAGAGGCTTGGGGAAAATTATACAGGTGATGTACTTTTAAGTGTAATTTGCAATATTAACACTTTCTCCATTATTTTCCCAATTCTAGACCAGGGATGGGGAACCTTCACAAAGTTTGGATTTGGTCAAAGAGTCTCACTTGAAGACCTAGAGGGCCACACGTGGCCTCAAGGCAACAGGTTCCCCACCCCTGTCTAGGTAATTCAAGAACACAATAAATTGAGCCCTGATTTGTAGCTTTCACTGATTTCTGAGGGGTGAATGCTCACACTGAAAATTTAATAATTGGCTCTTTTGTCCAGGTTCAAGCTGGCTCCAGTACTGCCCTGCCTAAGTTCCTTCTGTTCTTTCATGTAGATGAATGAGTTAAAGCCAGGCGGCAAAGCCACCTGCCTACTATATAAAACAACATTTATGGCCTTTTGATATTCATAAACAGGGAGTCCAAAGCCTTAGAGTGACCTTGGGGCCTGCTATTACATAAATAAACCTCAGAATGACAATTCCAAGGTTTCTCCTCACTAGTCCTGTTGCCTTGTCCTGATATTCCCTGGATTTTCCTTGTGGAAGGAAGGTCTTTGTCTCCTCTGGCTCTCTATCTCTTTCCTCTCTTTCTCACTCTATATAATCTTCCAAGCTTGCTATGCCAAGTCCAAGTGGAAGACAAGGGTGAAAACCCTCCTGTCTTCTAGTTGCTACTCCTTCCTTCCATCAAGTCCTTCTTCCCCACTGCCTTGTTTAATCTTTCCCACTTACCAGCAGCACCCATCAGCATACATAGATAGTCCTTGGGTGACAAAATTTACTTTCAGTTACCCAAAAGAGAAAGGCACCAGGATGGAACAAATATCCCAGAACTTCTTACACATATATTTATATAGCTATAACCCCCAGGTGTCACTGTAACACTCAGCTATGTGTCCCCTACTCCCACAGCCTCAGGGGCCTATTAAGCTCTCTCCCAGCGACCCACATTTGGTTATTACAACCAATAAAAATGAAATACCAGCTCATGTAGTCTGAGGGATAGGCAGGAAAAAAAAAAAAACTCGGGCTTCATCTCATTTCTGCTCTGCATTTTGCGACACTGTGAAACACATAGAATAAATGGCCTGAAAATATGCCTCCCGGTGGTTCCCTTGACCACAAAGCCAGGATATGGGGTCCTATATCGTGTATTCTGGGAAATATTTTTTCAAATACTTCTCAGAGCTGCTCCCACTTTAGCATCCTCAGTCTACATTTATAGTCACATCGAGCAAAGGCCGTCTTTGTAGACCAAGCTTTTATGGTAACAAAAGTCAAAAGGCAATAAAAAGGAACAGCTTATACCGGGAGTACGAACTGCCAACAAACAATTTGGAGAAGGGAGATGTTTGGGGATGGTGACAGTTGAATTCCTCCCCTTTGCCTGCTGGTCAACGCTCTGGTTCACTTTCAGCTTCTAAACCTGTCCTATGGCCACGGCTTTCTCCCTCTCCCGGTACCTCTCCCCCCGCCCCGCCTACCCACCCCCCTCCCCCCTCCCCCCTCCCCCAAGTTTTCCCCCTTCTAGATTCCACTCTTGTTTTCGAAGCTCCGCTTCTAGTTCACATCAAGGTCATTCTGTCCAAGCTTCAACCTACATTTCCCGTAATCATCATGGGAGAGCAAGATCTGTCCCACCCCAAAGCCGCTTCATAAACTTTAAAATTTATAAAGCACTTTGCTCAGAACAACCCTATCAGCACGGCAGGAAAAATATTATTTCCCCTCATTTTATAGAGGAAGACAATGAGATTTAAAGAGAAGAAATGACTTGCTCACAGTCACATAGAAAGTAAGTGGCTTATTACTCTTTCCAACACTTTTGCTGAACCAACTTTTAAGTGCTTACTTTAGCCAACACAGAAAACAAATAGAGTAACCTCAAATGTTTTAAAACATGAGGAAATAGAAATCCTACTGTAAATGTTTAACTTTCTACACCCTCAAGTCATGCCATATTTTATCTGTTTGGCTAGCCCTTTATCATAACAGGGAGTTGCCTGTGTTATTTTATTTTAAAAGGAAAAAAACCTTGAAAAATCAAAGCAAAATTAACTGTAATATAGTCAATATTACCAAATAAAAATAAAACTCAAAAAAAGCATGTAGAATGACTTTAACTAAGCTACATATTTTGCAAAGCTTTATTTCTTAAGTATTAAGAGGGAGCATTTGAGAGTAGAAGGCTGAAAGTCTAAGAACCTGGGTTATAGTCCCATTTTTAAAAAATATCCATTTTGTAACTTTGGACAAGTCATGATCACTCTAGTCCCCATTTTTCTCATTTTAAGTTGAATGGGTGGGTACAAATGACCTTTACATTCTCTACCAGCTCTTTCAATGAGAAGAAAAATTGAGAAAAGATTGTGAATGAAATAAACAGAATGTTTGTCTAGTCATGTAACTGAAGTAGAGAAGAAAGAAAGGTGGGCCGATCCTTAGAGATGACATTAGGCACAATCTGCAAAGCATTTAATTTTTTCCTCTGTGAAGGGACAATTAGCACTGGAGAACAGACATTTACTGTGTATAATAATTCAGAAAGCAAACGGTCAGAGAGTGAAATAACCATATGAGGAAAATATGTCAGGAGTTTCAATGTTCCAAAATTAATCATGCAATTTCCTGTTAAGTAAGCTTTCTTGTACTAAAGTGAGTTTGTTCAAGGCTGTCCTATCACAACAACCTCCCCTGTTGCCCTGTAAAGTTTCGAGTTGAGCACACCCAAACTCAAAATAATACAGGTACTGATACTTCCGGGTCCTTAAAGAAAGCAGGAGGCTGAAGGCTTCCTTTCTTGTTGTCATGGCAACAAGAAGATCTGCTGGCCGTCTGTTAGCATAAACCAAGAGCAAGTGCAAGACCACACATTCCACAAAGCCTTGAAGATTAACTAAGCTTTAGGGCCAGAATGGAGCCTCAATGGTCAGACTGAACTTCCAAGGGAAGAAAGGGAGCACCATAGTTTTAACCCCTAAATGTAAGTAATTTCTTTCTTATTTTCAGAAAGGTGTGTCTAGTTTTAACTGGGACCATTTTTAATGACCCCCGTTCATGCTGCAGGGAATGAATGTTTTCTCCTGGATCTAAGATTCACTCCTTTTGGTCTCTGTTTGCACAGGACAGTTTATGTTACTTGAATGTGGGTTTTATAAGCTAGCACATCATTCTCACCAAGAAATGCTTAAAGAGTTTACGTTTAAGACATTTACAGACATAAACTATTCCTCTGGGGATTCTGCCTTTAGAACAGAACCCAGGAAGGAGGTAACAGAGAAAATGAAAAAGTCAATAATTATTCTTTAGTCTTAAACTTCATACTTTAAGCCAAAAATTAAATGGATCTCATATCATTTAGTCTCCAAGTAGGGAAAATGCTCAATGATCCCAAAATATAGATGGTCAAGCAGAAAATCAAAAAGAATTTAGTAAACATGTACTATGTACCAGGCATGGAATCTCTAGCACAGTGACTCAGAAAATAATAGGTGTCTATGGAGTGCTTGTTGAATTGAAACAAATTAGGTTATGGTTTACATTTTAAAACTTCTGTCTCTCCTTGATAAAAAGTTATCAGGGCTTTAAAAACAGCTCTCACTATCGGATACTTTTCTTATGTAAGCCTTGAAAGAAAAATAAACTTAGATGCCATCCTTTTAGCTTATAAATTCTTAGCTTTGCTTCCATCTTGAAGAAAAGCTAATGATTGCTACATGAATATTCAAAACACTTTAGAGAGAAATGTAGCTGAATATTTGGCTGCAGTAGTTCAAATGGTTTTTTGAAATTGTTTTTCAGTCTTAATAAAAATAATCATATTTGGCTAAGAAAAAGAGCTCTCTTAAGACTTTTTTCAGTTAGTCGAAATCCTTGCCCACAGATATATTTGAAAATTCAGTTAATTAGGTTTTCATCGTTACGTAGTGATGCATGGGCTTGTTTATCAAAGAAAGAAGCTGCATCAACAGCATAAAAAGTAGTTATAATATTTATTGAAATAAATCCTTTATTAACCACCAGAAACAACACCAGGTCTCGTGTGTGTGTGTGTGTGTGTGTGTGTGTGTGTGTGTTTTAATTAACTGAAAGATAAGGATGATGCCTATTAAGATTATCTCTGGAAAAAGTGCTAAAGACAAAACGATGCAACTGCTTTGGAGGAAGAGAGATGTTTTCATTCTGTCAGAAATCTGGCATATAACTGAGACTAACAGCTTCAACAAACTCTGAGGAAATGAGTCATATTCAACAGCTAACTTGGATTTGCAGATGTCTTTTCCAACACACAATTTTCTTTTAATTACCTAAAGGCGAAATACAACTTTGCAATTAATAATTACTTTATAGACACCTTTCTGTCAATGCATGTGTCTGGCAGCTAGTAGTCACTTAATAAATGTTTATCGACTGATTACTAATTGATTGAATGAATGTGTGCTATATAGCCAATCACTGGAGAACCCAAGGAAGAACAAATGAAATCATATTGTTGTATATGTAGTGACCCTCTGGGTAACTGCTCTCTCCTAACTTCTTGTGTTCCCAGAAGGCAGATGCTACCTCTAGGTCCTAGGGGACCTCAGCATTTGAACCTCCCCAAACTCTAACTCATGAAGCCCATAAATGCATACAATGCCCAGGAGAAGAGTAGGCACAAATTTGGAGTATAATTGTAGTAACACACATTTAGGTAACAAATGTCATCAAGAGCCTCACGGCCTCAGCTCTTCAAAGCCTCAATATCCTTTCTTTACTTGTTGAGTCCTCAGACTGCATCTCTCATCTCCTGTCCCAGACTGTGTCTCTGCTGTACTAGTCACTTAACTAGGTTCCCAGGGTCCTTTCTTCTCCATAGCTCAACTCTTTAGTTGCCAAGGCTAGTTCTCTCTTGAATCTATAATTGGCTCTCTTCTTTGCTGCCAGAGGTCCTTGATCTTTGAAACTGCTTTCTGTCTTAAGTGACTTGACTCAGCTGCCCCCATGTATGTGTCTGTCTTTCTGGAGAATATACATTTCTACTCCCTTCTATATTCCTATGGAGTAATAATACTGCCATGTCCACTAAAGGAAGGAAATCCTTTCCCACTCCTGCTGCCCTATAGTATAGGAATAGGGGTCATGCTCCACAAAGCTGTTCCTGGCCTTGACTGACTGCAGAATTTAGCAAACTCACTGTTTAAAGGCAACCAGTAAGCTGTTCCTCTAGAATGATCAGGCAGAAATTCATACTTTACAGAAGATTAGCAGAATGTCAACACATTAATACCATTTCTGTTACCTTCTTTTTTTACTTTCTGTGAGACATCTGTATTTATATTTAGTTTAAAAAGATTATTATTTGTAATTACATCCTGAGCTGGGGGAAATCAATTTCCCCTAGGGAATGGACCCTTCCCTATATATGTAGTACCCCATCTGGGTTACCTTTCCTCCTCTAATTCACACTTACAGGCTGGGTCCCTAGGTGGCAACTACTTCCAGGTTCAAGGTACTTTGTGGATATAAAAAAATAGTCCCTGTGTATGCTTACCTTTACTAGTCAGCTAGGAGAGCAAATGACTCAAAACAAAGAGTTTTACTGAGATGACATCATTTGAACAATAGTAACAAAATTCTACCCAATAAACCTGGGTCGCATTTTCCCACAAGTATTTATAGTGTCATGAGGAAGAGTAGGCACACACTAGTAAAAAGGCACATACTTAGAGTATACATAATGTGACCAAAGCAACTCATATCTCTGACACTGAAAGGCCCAAGAAGTCTTTGATTTATTTTCCCTTTTCATAGTGCCCTTGTGCTGCACCCCCTGGGTAAAGCATCTCTGCTGGGCAAGTCACTTAGCTGGGCTCCCTAAGCCCATTCCTCTCTTGCAGCTCAACTCTTGATAGCCAGAGCAGACTCTCTTCTTGACTCCTCAAAGCTGTTTTACCTCTCAAATGCTTAATAGCTGCTGGGCATGGTTTCTCTTACTAGTGAGTGGCCCCACTGCTAGATCCCATGACCAATGGTGGGAAAGGGGAGAAATTTCTCCCTTTCCCACCAAGAAGCAAGGATCAAATCTCTCCCAAAAGCTATGTTCTCTAAAAGCTAACCATAGCTGGCTCTTTTCTCTGCTGCCAAAGCTTATAGTTCACAGAAGTATTGCCTGTTTTGACTCTTGAAAACCAATGACCAAAGAGTCAGAGGTTATGCAACTGCTATTAACTCTGAAAATACCAAAGAGCTCTCACAGATTATCACGACTAAGAAATAAAATGAAATAAAAACAAAAACCAAGGAGTTAACAGTGGTCATAAATAAAAAGCTTTCTTTATTCCATTAGAGGAGGTAAATTAGAGACGTGCTGGGGCCTCCTCTAGAAGGAGACCCACATTAGTGAGGTCAAATCTTGACACATATAGCCATGGCTAACCAGTGAATTGTAGACCTAACAATGAGGGGTAGCAGCAATAATGAGACAAGTTTGATTCATAGCAAGGCTTCATGACTGGAACATGGATCCTGAAGGTGCTTGTCCAAGCTCAGGGACCATCTGGGACTGGTATGAAGCAATTCTGGGATTTTGTTGTGGCAGAGTTCATCCAGAGGGTGAGGGAAAAGAATTGTCATTATGCCAAGCTCAAGGCCAAGCTTGCTTGCTGAGCCTTAGTGCTAGAAAACAGGGTGTCTCCTAATAGTAAAAAGAGAGGAGTAAAAAAGAAAGGGGTGGTCTTGGCGTGGGGATCCTGACACTCTCAACTCTTTAGAGATTGTTAAGGTGGCCCTTTTAAAGGGCCACCAAGAGTATGTCTTGTCCTTGGTCGTCCAATGGCTAGCTGCCATCTCATTAGTTTGATCAGAGAATTTCTTCCTACCTCATAAATAGTTAACAAAGTATAAGACCTTTCTTACACTTTGTTTAAGATTTTTAAATCTCTCTATTACCTGCCTATTAATTTCTGTGATTACATCGAATCTATCAGACTGGGGAGAATCAGTTAATCGGGGACATCCTGATCAATTCTCCTCTCCATTATATTCTCTTCCTAATTAAACAACTGGGGTGCTTCTGCTTCATTTGTCCTTAGTCCCAAATTCTGGATAGCTCTCTAGTGTCTTGGGAAGGCTCAAATATTGCTCTTTAGAACTTTCCCCTAGAGTTTGAGCAAAGTCCATGCAGCACAGTCCTTAAACAACCTGAAAACTAGCAGATTTCCACGAGAGTACAGCCCTACCATACAAGGTGGGCCTATAAATTATTCTGACCTCCAAACACATGGTTATACAATTCAAGAAACACACAACATTTTTCAAAACTCTCAATTACTGCCTCACTTGATGCCTATTTATCCCAACACAAGGACAACAAAAAAAAAAGAAAGAAAGAAAGAAAGGGAAAGCAAAAAAAAAATGGCATTTCCTCTTCCGCAATGGAAAAGTATGATTCCCAACAAAGCTTCCAAAAATAATAGGGGACCTCAAATGACTGGAAGTTACCATCTTACATTTAGAGGAGAAACCAAACTGTTCCCTATAAAAATTCTTCTGGGTCCCTGCAATTAAAATTTCTCTAATATCTCTGCAACACAAAGGACATTCCAAATGGAGGTCCGTACCACCCCTCACTAAGACAAGAAGGCTAAGAATAATAATAATAATAATAATAATAGCAGCTAACAATTATATATTGCTTAAAATGTGCCAGGCAATATGCTAAGTGCTTTACAATTATCTCCTTTGATCCTCTTAACAGCCCTAAGAGGTAGAAGCTATTATTATCTCCATTTTACAGATGGAGGAATCTGAGGCAAACAGGTTAAGTGACTTCGCCAAAGTTACACAGCTAGTAAAAAGTCTGAAGTTGGATTGGAACTCGGGTCTTCCTGACTCTGTGCTTAGCGTTCTATTTACTACACTACTTGGCTACCCCTGGTTTATGAAGAAATCAAAATCAAACAAGAGGTATGGGACTCTTTAAAAGTTATTAAGGACTTGGAG